AAATGCCTGATGCGATATTAGATGCGTGTCTGAAACGAGATCCAGAAAGTAATGTAAATTATGAAACGTAGAAAATCTGAAATGTTACAGTCATAGGCGAAATCACAACCAAGGCTAATGGGACTATGAAAAAATTGTTTACAACATGCGCAGATAAATTGGATATTCGATACCTGTAGTCGGACTTGATGCTGATAATTACAAAGTTCCGATAAACGTCAAGCAACAGGGCCCTGAGATTACTGAGGTAATCTATTGTCATTGTTAAAATTTGGGTGTAACTTGAATTATTTGTTGAAAATAATTGAGAGTTTTAATTAAAATGCACATTAAGAAAAATTCTATTGGGAATGCTATTGTGAAATCCTATTCAAGTTTACTTGGTGAATTCTAATTGAAGTTCTACTTGTAAGCCCATTAGGAGTAGGAATTTGTATTAGACTTGAATAAGACATTCGGATGAAGAAAATCAAGATTTTTGGAATAAAGGACCCGAAAGTGGGCGCCATGGCGCCACGATAATTTTTGCCTAGGGTTGCCAGGGCAGTGCTGCAGCGCCGCTTCGTCTGTTGACCTCTTGCGCAATTTTTCCTATCCTTTTTCATTTTTAGCATTCTACTTCAACTACAACTCTACTATAAGAGTTTGGACGTCCCCTATTTATTCCTTATATATAGTTGGCTTTTCATTATGATATCGAGTTAGAAAAAGTTGGAAAAATCATAAATATAAAATATTTGTATTCTTTTTCAATATTATAATAAAAATTTCATTCTTTACAAGTTATTTTATTCTTGTGTTCTTGTGATCTTTACTTCATTTTGTGAATATAATCTCTTATCTTTTCACATCAAACTGGTATCATAGCATTCAACTTTCTATAACAATTGGTATCAGAGCTTTTGGTGTTGAAATTCTTGGGAAGATCAAGGTTTTTTGTGATGACAATAATGAAGTATGATATTCCGTTATTAGATTGCAATACAAGATTCTCTTTATAGAAGGCAAAGATTCGAACAGTACTCATTCGGATGGATTTGGATGATACATTTTGGGATTTGACAAGATGCCAACAACTTGGACTATAGAGGAGAAACAACGGAGGGATCGAAATGCCCTATCTAAAATAAATTCTCATCTTTCCAATAATATTCTTCTGGACATTTTGAATGAGAAGTCAACCATTGCTTTATGGTTAGAATTTGAGTAATTATGCATGAAGAAGAGTCTTACTAGCAAATTGCATTTAAAGTAACGATTATATTCTCAACTTAGATCAAAAGGTACATCTCTTGAAGATCACCTATATACTTTTAAAGAAATCGTCATTGATTTGGAGACCTGGGAGGTCAAATATAATGAAGAAGACTTGGAATTGATTTTGTTGTGTTCATTGCCCGCATTATACATGTCTTTGTGAGATACGATTTTATATAGCCATGATACTCTCACCATTGAAGAAGTCTACGATGCTCTATATTCAAATGAGAAGATGAAACATCTTGTAACATTTGGGGATCATGGAGATGTTATCATTGTTCATGGTGATCATTTGAGGGGCAAGTCAAAATCTAACTTCAAATTTTGTAATTATTGCAAGAAAAAAAGGGCACTTGATAAACGATTGTTACAAGTTGCAGAATAAATCAAAGTCAACTGCAAATCAACAATAAAAAACTTCGGGGGAAGCAAGTATTGTAGAAAATCCTAGTAGTGATAGAGAGCTTCTACTTATATCTGACTACAACTCCAAACCTGATGATGTTTGGATTTGGATACAACTTGCACTTTTCATATGTCACCCAATCAGAAATTGTTTTAAACGTATGAAGAAGTTTCAAAAGGTGTTGTGAAGTCCGATAATAACACAATTTGTCAAATAACTGGTATTGGTGTGTCAGAATAAAGATGTTTGATGGGACGATTAGAACATTTGATGAAGAAAAATCTTATCTCTTTAAGCACTATTGATCTTAATTCATCCTACAATTGAACAACACAAAGAAATTAATAAAGAATTAAGTAAAATATTCAAAAGGAAATCAAAATTGAAGAAGAAGAATTCAAAATTAATGTATTCCCCTTTTCATCTAGGCTCAGAAAATCATCAATCCAACACCATGGCACATAAAGGTAGGAAGAAGAAGCAGAGAAATTGGCACATAAAGGCACAGTAAAAGGAAGAAGAAGAAGCCAGTTTTCTTCAGGTTTTTGTGTGTGTTTAAATGAAACCAAAAGACTCAAATTTATAGGCAAAATAGACAAACGAATTTCCAGATTTTTCTCTCCAAGATAGAGTTCAAGAAACTAAAATGGTTACCAAGGATAAGAATAATATAACCATCTAACTTCCACGTGAAAAAGGGATAATTATCTCCATAACTGGGTATTAAGCACCTAGCCCAATGAGCTGATTTCCTCTAAATACCCAACAAGATTGGACTACATCATTTGTGGTGTGAATTTTAATAATATTCTTTAATCCCGAGCTTATAGCCTATGAAGATAAACGGGCTAGGATTTTTCATCATTGCTTAGGGGTTATTTGGGAATCACTAAAATACCCAACACGTACTATTGATTCAAAAGGGTACAGGTACTCTGTTGAAGGTGAAGTTCTGAAAGTTATCAAAGGAGCCCGTGTTGTGCTGATGGCACATAGAAAATCTCATTTATATATCATATAGGGTGATATAGAATCTTCAAGTAATTAGCATATTTACGAAATAGGGTAGATTTAGAGGTAGCTTCTGTACCGGTTGTAGTATAATTTGGGGTCTTCTTTTAATAATACATCTCAGTTGAATTTTGAAAATATGGGTAAATCCGTCTTTCCACCATTATCGACGGTGACATCATATTCAATTGCTAGAAATAGACCCACTTTTGGCCATAAGATTCCACATATGTACAATTCTGCTGATTTTGTTGATGGTTTGAATACGGTTAAGAATGTTGATTCTAGCCAACATCCTTCTTTTGATGCATTCAGTTGTAATTCTATTACAGGACTTGTTTCTGTCTTGTTTGGTGATCATTAGATCACTTTTGCCCCTAGTTGGGGTAGCAGAGATGGAGAATCTTCCTAGTTGGAATTGTTGATGAAGAAATTCGTTTGTGCTTTTCATTGAAGTGTTCAAATTTATTCCTTGTAGTGAAATTTGTCTCCAAGTGAAGATTTTTTTTAAAACTTTTGTTCATTGCAGTGAAATTCATATCAATTGTTAGAATTTAGGTGTGAACCCAAATTCCTTGTTAAAGATAATTGAAAGTTTTAATTAAAGTGCCCACTAAGAAAAAATTCTATTTGGAATGCTATTGTGAAATCCTATTCAAGTTTATTTAGCGAATTCTAATTGAAGTTCTACTTGGAAGCCCATTGAAAGTAGGAATTTGTGTTGGACTTGAAGAAGACATTGGGATAAAAAAAATCAAGATTTTTGGAGTAAATGACCCGAAAGTGGGCTCCACGGCGCCACAACAATTTTGGCCCGGCGATGCGATGCCGCCCTGTCTGTTTGCCTCTTGTGCAACTTCCCTGTCCTTTTCCTTTTTGGCATTCTACTTTAACTACAACTCTACTATAAGAGTTTGGACATTCCCTATTTGTTTCCTATATATAGTTAGCTCTTCATTATAATTTAGATGAAGTTAGAAAAAGTTGGACAAAAAACATAAAATCTTTGTATTCTTTCTCCATATTATAATAAAATCTCAATTCTCTGTAAATTATTTTATTCTTGTGTTCTTGTGATCTTTACTTCATATTGTGGTTATAATCTCTTATCTTTTCACAACAAACTGGTATCAAAGCATTCCAGTTTCCATAACAGTCACCTAATAAAAACCCGAAGAGATTGAAGCCAGAGATCAGGTCACATGATCAGCTATGCCACAGATGAAACCCCTGAGCTGATGCAGTTGACTCATGTTTTCGCTAGTAAGCTCAGTGCCAAATTAACCAAGGTGAGAAAGAACAGAACTTGTACTTGTCCCTAGCTAAGGCCTGATGGAAAGACTCAAGTCACGGTTGAAACCAGGAGGAGGGTGGAGCTGTAGTGCTTATCAGGGTCCATACTGTTCTCTTCTCGAATCAACATGACGAGACTATGACAAATAAGTAGAGACTGAAAGTCTTAAAAGAGCATGTAATCAAGCCTGTCATTACATTGAAATATCTCGATGACAAGGATTTCTTTTCAATCCCTTGAGTCTGTTTGTACATGGAGGCGCTCAATGGGATGCGAGATTGACTGGTAGAAAGATTATTGTCGACAATTATGGTGTCTGCTGCATGCACGGAGGTGGTGCATTTTTGGGAGAGGATCCAACCAAGGTTCATCTATGTGTCGCCTATATTTCCAGGCAAACAACAAAGAGCATGATGGCCTCTGGGCTTGCATGTCGTTGTGCCGTGCAATTGCCATTTGCAATCGGCACGCCAGAACTGTTATCTGTATTTGTGGACACATATGGTACAAGGAAATTGTCGGTTAAGTATATACAGGAGCTTATTAAGGAGAACTCCGACTTCATGCCGGGAATGATTGATATCAATCTGGACTGGAAAAGGGGTTGCAACTTCAGGTATCAGAAAGACTGCTGCCTATGGTCATTTTGGATGAAAAGATCCAGATTTCACCTGGGAAAATGTTAGAGGTTCTCAAAACTAAGTGAGCTTAGCCTGCTTTCCATTCTGTGGTATGCTTCTGTTGTTGCACTAGGATTTGTTACATTTTATGTCGAAAGTAAAAGAGATTAAGAAATGTTTTGTAAGTCTTAAGGTTACGAATAAATAGTAGGACTTCATCTTGTGATTAATCAAAACATTTTAGCCCAATAGTGATTACAGTCATAATTCTATAATAAGAACAAGAGATCTTTCTAGACCAATCCATCTGCCCCTCAATGGGTAAACGAACATGAATTGAGGAAACTTTTATCAAGATGATTAAAAAATCATTACAATAAAAGGATTTGTTCTCTGTTGAGTCTGTTCTTTAGAGAGGTATGCCTTGCATCCACCTCTTTATCATTTCTAGTGATGCTTTTGGTTGATCCATAGGAACCATGTGGCCAGCATTGTGGACCTTAAGGAAAGTGAGAAGTCCATGGCTTTTCTTTAATCCCGCCTCCACTCCATCTACATTAAATGGAACAGAAGGAGCCGATACAAAGTCTTGCTGTCCCGACCATACCATAGCATCGACCCATCTCGAGTTTCCTGACAATAATAAAACATAGTTATAGCAGTTACATTAAAAACCTTTCCTATGTTTTTCATAGTAGGTCTCAAGTAAATGGGAGGATTCAGGTTGGTGGAAGGAAGTGTAAAACCTTATCAAATTTAATGGAAACTTTTATAACCAAACCCTAAACAGAAAAAGAAATCAGAATATATGCAAAGCACACACGGACTTTTGGTAGTACATTGGACTATAGCCCTCAGAATTCAGTTAAGAAAAAGATTTATATAAGTTGAATTGAAGACAGAAAATATTACCTATCCAATTGCAAATAAGATCATACTCCCCAGCGTATACAAGTAACTTGACTCCATTCTCTAGTAGGGCAGGTATATCAACCTCATAACTCTTCATCCAGTCCAAATTCATTGATTCATACACATCAAGACTACATGAAACAAATTGTATGTCTCCAACACCAAGTGCTTCTCTAACTGACTTCTGGTTCAAGAAATTTTCCATGTTCGAAAAGTTGTAGCACAAAGAACCCACACACGGTTTTCGAATGTCATAGTGCTACAATAAACGATAAAACCATATGGTTAATAAGTTTATATTCTGTCTAATTATAAGACTGAATAATGTGTTTTCTTACATTTATATCTCCAGATATTTCAACTATCTTATTGAAAATGTCGGTGCAGAGATAGAAAGCCTCGGCGCAAGCTGCTGAAAGATCACTGCTATTGCCTGCCAATGAACTTTTTATCACAATCCAAGTGAGAATTGCTTGTGGAAGGTTTGAATATGCTTATAAATTAGGCAGAGTTTCCACGACCGACGTAGATTCAGAAGTAAATGTCAAAAGGGGTGGATTTAGGATTAAAAATTACCACAGAGTTTTATTGCCCGTACACATCCGGGAAGTGACTGACTCAGGCTGTCATAATCAGAGTTGTTGATCAATTTCATGTTTAAAGCATAATCAGTATATGCCTTGTACTGGATCTCTGGATCTGTCAATCCATTACCAATAGCTAATCCCTGTTTAAGCACTGGTAAGTTGCATAATTGAACGAGGAAAACTATGAGATTAATTAACAGTAGAGATGAAATTCAAGGCTCACTTTCATGTTTATATGAATCCCTTCTTTATTATCATTTCCCCGTCGAATCCGATCAGCAAAAGCTGGAATATAGTGCCCGGCGTATGATTCTCCAGTGATGTAAAAATCATTCCTTGCATATTGAGGGTGCGCTTGGAGAAATGCCTAACATTTATGCATATTTTAGTTCAGACTAAGTTTATGATTTTGGATAACTATATAATTTTGGCCGTATTATATGAAAAATAAATTAAAATCTTGTCTAGTTCTGTCCCGTAGCTGCCTGGACTAGGAAACTTACCTGCAGGAAGTCATAGAAATCAGTGGCAGCTCCCACAGAATCAATTCGAATGTCAGCTCTGTCAGAAGTATAACTGAAACCTGTTCCAGTTGGTTGGTCGACATATATAATGTTTGAGGCCTGTCATACCATATGATTCATAAAATATTTGAAATGCACAAATGAATCTCTTTCATCCCAGATAGACATATGAACAGTTAGAAAAAATGAGTACAGAATTGCAAAAACAGATGTATGTTTCCATTGGAAAAACGACATCATTAGTTGGTTTGAAGAAACTTTGGTGGTGAGTAGGGGAGGTTCTTTATTATCTAATTAACTCCCAATTGTAATGTAAGAGCTTTGGTTTTGGTTTATCGGGATAGAGGTAAGCAAAAGACAAATTTTCGTCAAAGCCCTTCCCCGTCAAGTCGAGGCAAGACATTGACTCACCTTTAAGAATTATCGTTTGGAGTCCAGACGAAAAAATTTTAATGAGAATTGAGGAAAATGAGAGTACCTTATCCCAACCAAAATCATTCCATACAAGAGATAAGTTGTTTGCTATGTGGAAAGGGCCGTTTTCATAAAACAGGGCCAGCGATGAGCTGCATCCGGGTCCTCCACTTAACCATACAACAACAGGGTCTGTACTCGGCTTGTTTCTTGATTGAAAGAAAAAATAGAACATCCTGCAACAATATTTCAAGCAATTTGACAGAAATTTCTCTCATAAAGCAAATATGAATAAGACTTGGATGAAAATCCTGAATTTATTCATGAAATCATTGAAAATGACATGATATAATCAGTGATAACTAAATTGCATTTCTAGTTTATAAGTTGACTTCTGTCGCTCTTCATGCGCTTTTTGGACTGAGAGGATTCATTTGTCAATGCATGCCAAAGTATTCTATGTTGTTTTATTTCTGTAATCTGTAAAGAATTCTGTATGGGACATGCAGTCGCACTTGCTCACCTAATTAGTTAAACTGTAAGAAAAGATACCAAAGCCTGAAGAACAAATACATGTTATACCTTGCACTTTTGGTGTGAGGAAGTCTATAATATCCAGCCCTGTGTCCCAAGTCTTGAACACTGGTTCTGGGATCACTTAAACAGGGAAATTGTAAACTTTTCTCGACCATTTTTGGTACTGTAAATGCAGGATCGTCTTCAACAACGTTCACATCAAGTTCAGGAAACAAGTTCAATCCTCTGATCATCTTTTCTGCTTTTGTTTTTGGGAATTCCATAGTTTCTGCAAATGAAAATGTGCAAAGGAAAGGGAGAAGGAAAAATAGAGGGAGAAAGGAATGAAAAATTGCCAGTTCCATTGTTGTAAGAATGATTCTGAAAAATGAAACTGAGGACATCTACAATTCAGAATTTAACAGAGTTTTTAAACTTTATAGATTCTCATGGATTTCATGTATTTGAATAGAATTTAACAGAATTCATAAGATTTTAAGAATTCTACATTCTTTATTTTAATGGATTGAGTGGATTTTGATTGATTTTTTACTATTAGAATAAAATGATACAATTCTTGATAGATTACACAAAATATTGAAAATCCTAACTTAAAATTCATAATCTAATTTCTTATTATAAAAATTTAAATTACAATTTAAGTTGGTCAAACCTTTTCGTATATACACATTCTCTGATCTTACAATTTATTATTTCTTCTTATCTACACAATGGGTAGGACCTACTAAACTAATAATTTAAAGCCCAAATAAGCCATTATTGAGTATATACACACAAATATATTTAATACAAACAACGTATATGCGTTAAATCTATAACTCTGTGCAGATATACACATAAATATATAATTATTGTTGTCTAATAGTTAGAATCGCTTCGACATGGCTTTTCTGAAACTAAGAAGCTGTTTTTAAACGAGGAAAGTTCTTCTGAAAAAAGCATATGCCCTGCCAGACGGGCCCATACCCTATGATATAATCTCAAAGTCAATTTACGCCTTCCACACCCTATGATATATATCTCAAAGTCGATGTACGCCTTCCACAACAATTCTGGCATGTGCAATGCAGGTTGGTCAATTGCAAGCTAAAACCTTGCTCTTGCTCTCTCTGTTTCAGCCAACTCTGCAAACTAGATCCACGTATAACAGTGTTCTGGTGAACATTCCTCATACTTCTGATACAGTTTTCGACAAGGCACCATGTTACCAAGTTTCAGCTCCATCTCGATGTATTTCTCAAATATCATATCTTTGGGAGCTTTGCCAATTGCCAATCCAAGAATTAGGCATGCCTGATCGAGATCTAACTGACCTATTACAAACTATGCAGCCATCAACCAAATCTTAGCAAATGAAAATTTGTCGCTATTTCTCCATTTTCATCTCAAACTTCGCATACCTAATCCAGGCGCCAAACTTCGGATGACAGTCCACAAATCGCTCAGAAATCCCTCTCACCCTCTCGACTTCATTGTACATCAACTCAAACTTCATATATGAAAGCCGACCTTGCTGATCAGGATGCTTTGACATCCACCTCTCAAACATTTCCCTTGCAATAGCCACATTGCCGAGCATCTCCTCAATGTGAATATACTTGTACCACAACTGATCCACCATATGTTGGTGTTTTTGTTGGACGCCATTTGTCTATTTGGGTCTGAACCACATGCTCATTTCCTTTTTTTCTTTTCATTTTTTAATAAATCAAATGTATAATGTCAAAAAAGATCGGCGTTGATGTTTTAATTTATTGCTTTATAAGAAAGTAATTTACTATTTCAGAAACAGCAATGCTATATAGTGCTAGTACCACTATTACATACATCGGTGCTAAGGACTACTAATGGTACATAGCATTACTAGTTCAGAAAGTTGTAAATCTTACCTCAAATGAAATGATCGAGAGGTTTAATTAAGAGCAAAGATTGATGCCTCTGTACATATTGTTACTTATAACTTTCTTGAATTCCTTGTAGCTATTGTTGTTTATTACATCTAAGATCTATTTTTACGAGTTCTTGAATTACTGATAGACACATTATAGAGTGCATCATTCCAAGCTTTAAGCCTTGAACCATTTTCGCCTTAAGCTGAAAACCTTAATTTTGTATTGAATTGTGTTTGTGCTTGTGTCGAGCTCTTCAAGCAAACCTCAACTGTCTCGTTGCATATTGCCTTATTGCAAGAATATTTCTCCATGGTTTCATGTAAGAATTGAGACATTATCATCATTAGTGAATGGTGACTTCTAATAGTACCAGTCATTATAATTTGTAATCAAAGTCAAATATTAATTTCTAATCTTCATAATTAATTTTTTTTTAATTAAATAAAAGTTTCAAATTGCATTAACCACCATGAAATGTGGACGAGCTACAGCTACTGACGCCTGCAATGGGACATGAAATTACATGTCTCACAATTAATGTTCAGTAACAAAGAGCAAATACCAAACAAAACAGCCTTTTGAGGGGCCAAAAAAAAAATCAGACTTCAGGCTCTAAATAATTCGGAGTGAATCATTCAGCAAAATGCACTTCAAAACCATGAGTTTAGCAAACAATAGCCCTTCTCGTAGTGGAACAACTTCAGAGCATTACAATGAAAAACATCCCGCCATCAATCCTGAACCACAGCTCTAATCCTGAAAAAGCACGATCCCCTTGTGCCGCATCATCAGTATTCTGTCCGACAAACCTGCTCATTTAAAGGCAGCCTTCGCCCTCTCACAAATAAAATTAGTATGCTGTAAAGCCTAAATCACTCAACATTATGCACATGAATTATCCTCCCCAATTTTGCACCGCCAAAGATTTACCTTGTAATGAAATCAAAGAAAGCACGCCAACGAAAAATTGGGAAATTAGCAGGAAATTAGTCGAGATACCACACTCCTTTCCAAGAGCTGAAAAGATGCCACTTTCCTCCCTGATATGCGCTGCCACGAGTCTTTTATAGGATTATAACATGTAGCATGATTCTCTTTTATAACTGTTGAATATAGTTGATATTCTTACTTTCAGATTTTTGTTTTAGTAGACTAGATATTTTGTATCTTAAGTCTTAAGTTTAAGTGTTCAATTTGATAACTTAACCTTTGTAAAAGTTTTCATAGTTAGATCTTTTTTAATGACGGTTTGTTAGTTTAAGGAGGTGGAAAACATGTCTATGTAATCCTATAAATACCTCAAGTATTGTATGAAAAATAGAGCTTCAATCTTCTTTTTTAAACTTCCAGAAAAATAGAGCAAAACAAAGTAATTTTACTTGGGCAGAAAACAGAATATGACAGTAGAAATCTTGATGAGCATTTAAGCATATACGGTGAGAAGAGTGCAAATACGGTAACTTCAGTGCAAATCCGGTAGGCATTCTGTTTTACATTAAAACAGAATTTCCTTTGGTAAATCCGGTAAGTGCTTTGCATATACGGTAAGCCAAGTGTATATCCGGTAAATTGAGTGTATATCCGGTGAGTTGTATTAAACGGTGAGGAGTGTAAAACCGGTTAGATTATATTATATCCGGTAAATTCCACTCTTAGATTCATATCTTCCTACAATTACCACTGTGGACAAAATGAATTATTCTACTTTGCCATAGAATTTTTGACATCCTCTCGATAGATGTGTAGCCGTGTAGGTGGATGGAAACGATTGAATGAAAATAATGAATGTTTTAAAATAGTAGAATGATATAATACCACGTGGTATTATGTCAATCTATCTGTCAATGAGTTGGGCAATGTAGCGTGACTAGGAGAGAATAAACTCCGCTGGTTTCAAATCTAGTTGCGCCCGCCTGAGTATTTTGAGACGCAACTAATTATCATGAGGCCCTATAATTTTTTTTTACACGTATAGCAATATTTAAATTAAAAAAACTATATTTAAATGAATTTTTTTTTACAATCTAAAAAAATTGCAAAATAAAATTCAAATTATCTTAACCAGGAATTGAAATTTAAATTATCTTCAGCAATATATTAATCTATAATATTTTAAATATCACATCAAATGAGAATAATTTTTTAGACGATTTTAACCCTACTAAGATTCAATTATTTCAATATTACCATACTTTTTGTTTTTCAATATGTAATAAATATTACAAAATCCTTGTTATGTATGATTTTTGTGTTATTAATTCTCAATTAATTAAAATTCACATTAATCTAGATTCAAGAAATCTTAACTTGATGAATCTTGATCCACATGAATCTAGAGTTATTATAGATGAATTTATTTCTATTCACGTTTTTAGGAATTTTAATGAGTATTTAAATTCATGTATTAACAATTAATTCTTATGTACCAAATGTAGTATAAAAATATTGTTCATTTGTAGTATTTTATCATCACAAAAATTTGAATTTGAATCATAGAAGTTAAGTTTTGAGAGTACAATTAAATTTCTATCCCAAACTTTATTTTCTTTAGTTTGTTTGAGACTCATCAAATCCTTTCAATAAATTGGTATCAAATATTATTTTACAACACTTACGAAATATTTCAGAATAACGTGCAATACACATTCAACTCTGACTAGTCTAATTAAAAGTTCTTAACCAGGTGCATAATTGATGCTTTCAATCCCAATTCGGCATTTCCCAATGAAGCAAAGAATGAAAGAAACCCTGATTTCTCGTGTTTAGAGAACAAATCGTTTATCAGCTTTAGGGCTTTCGTGTGGTTCCCTTGGCGTAGAACAGTGAGTACTCTCTTACACTCGAGCTTAGTTGCTTTATAGTCGACGGTGGTGGTTGTTGCTTGTTGGAGACTCCGTCGGTGGCTTGGACCGAATCAGACTCAAATACCCTAGGAGGAAGTCGAATAGTTGGACAGTTGGAGAGGAGAATTCAAGAATAGGTTTAAGAATCTTCTTCCAGGTTGTTCGTTGTGTAACTTGTGTTTTGTGAAATCAATTAGGGGAACTTACATAAATACCCTTACAATTAAGGGTCCTTTGAAAAATCATATGAAACATATTTTGGAAGTAAAACATACTGTGTAAAATTAATTGTCATTTTTTCAATGGAAAAAGTGACACAATAAAAAAAGTGACATTGAAAAAGTAACCCACTGTCACTTTTTAAATTTAAGTCACTTTTTAATTAAAAATGATATACAATATCACTTTTATTAAAAAATGATGTTTGTCACTCGAAAAAGTGATAGAAATTTCAAAGAATTGACAAAAAAAGTAACAAACATTAAAAAAGTGATAAAAAATTAATAAAAAGTGACAAACAATAAAAAAATTGACACAAATTCAAAAAAAGTGACGAATACTCAAAAAAAGTGACAAAAATGAAAAAAAAAATGAAAAACACTAAAAAATGATAAAAAATTTAAAAAGTGTCAAATACCAATTAAAGCATTGTAATTAGTTCAACAAAGTGACAGAAAAAAGTGACACAACCAATGTCCCTCCTCTTTCTTCGTTCACCACTAAGCATCTTTAAGTCAATTCACTAACACAATACCAATGAAAGCGCCAAACATCTTTAAGTTAATTCACTGCCAACGTCATCTACCGACTCGGTCAACCCATTTATAATATAAAAATTTTTTTGAAAGTAAAAAATATTTATAAAGTTAAGTGTTAACATACAATATCACTTGGGAAAATTAGGCCCCATACTCTCAAAAGTGGCCCAATTAGAAAAATACTCTAAATTAATTAGAGAAGTAAATTAAACATCACAAAACCGTA